CACACACACACACACATTTCTTAGAGTACATAACATACTCTGTATTTCTTAGAATACATACATAATATGTACTGTAACAGCTATCATCATATTTGGTAATTTTATATATTATCATAATATATCCAAACCAGTCTAAAGATATGTGACACCTCCACTTCAGTGTTGGTTAACATTGGTGAACTGGTTAAATGGCAAAAATATATGTGGTAATGACAGTATTCAAACAACAAATGAAATCTTCAGCAGGTTCAAGCAACACAGAGAGAAGATTACTTTGTTCATTTATAGCCTCCAATTGTTTTCATAATTTTTTGATAGTTCTCTGCCTGGAAACCTCTGAAAGACTGTCCTAAGCATTCTTAATTTTCTCTTCTTTTTTGTCTATTCATGTATGTTTGGAATTTAGCAAAATGTAACATACTTCAGTTGTATCTGACAGATAGAAAAGAGTAGGCATTTTATCAAGCTTCTGTGTTATTTAAGTATAGCTCTTTGATGTTTCAAAAAAAACAAATAATCCTTGCTTCCTTATATTATATATAATTCCTTTAGAATCAAGCCCCACCTATTGGTCAAATGATCAATAACATGGCAACAGAAGAAAATGATATAAAAGAAACATTAAAACAATGTAAGAAGCCCAAAGGAGGTAAGTAGGAGAATATGGCTAGGGTAAAGAATGTTCCAGGCTATCCCTGATGACAGTGTTCTTTTTTGGTCTTGAACTGTCATCACAAAAGAAAAAAAAAGGTTCTTATTATTTTTAATTCTACCGTTTTTATTATTTTTAAAACAAACTTCATTCTTCAGCATAGAGACAATATCAGATGCCAACTATGCAATCCAAAAAAGCAAATATAATGAGGAATTTTTAAAATACAGCAGTTCAATGACTCTCTTAATGGAGGCTCTATTTCCAGAAGTGAAATTTGTAATTATTAGAATGCATAATTTACCAATATACATGACAAAAATATTTTTAAAGTATTACTAACATAGAAAATATAAATCATTAAGTAAGCAAAGTGTCAAAACACCTGGGATCCATGACTGGTTTGGCTTAGTGGATAGGGCGTCGGCCTGAGGACTGGGGGGATTCCTGGTTCAATTCCAGTAGGGGGCACATGCCCAGGTTTTGGGCTCAATCCTGGTGTGGGGCGTGCAGGAGACAGCCGATCGATGATTCTCCCTCATCATTGATGTTTCAAACTCTCTCTCCCTCTCTGAAATCAATAAAAATATTTAAAAAAAACCACACACACATGGAAAAAGTCACAGAGTGGAAAGTAACCTCCAAAGGTCATCAACCACAAGTTGTTAACTCTCAGATCCAAGAAAAAATGATTCCACCATCATGCTTGGTGGAAGGGGACTTCTGTTTGGCTTTTGAGAGAGGAGACTATAAAAATTCAATGTAGAATTAGAATCATGTCATTGTAGATAAAAGTTAAATTTTATTGTACTGATGAGATATTCTAAATATTATCAGCTGCTAAAGATCAATTTTATGTTTAAAACATAAGGTGAAATGTGCAACTCAGACTAAATCAGTGTATAATGAAAAACAATAGTGTATATATAGATAATGAAGGTATCATGGAAGCTGGTTAAATTTTATAATGAAGAGAAAACTAGTAAGAATATAGCAAGCTGGCTGAAATTGATATTCATTAGGGTACTCTTCACATCAATAGAGAGCATTTGGACTCTGTGGTCTTTATCAGTGTCCCAGCTGGTAATGGTTGAAGGTTAATGCCTTACCCCATTCTGTTCAATTTTCTATCCTAATTAGCCCTCCAAATCTATAGCTGTGAGCACCAAGTGTCTGTGCTCAAAAGAAACTAATTAATGCTAGCAAATTAGATCAAGTCCAAAGATCCAACAGCCAAACTCTTAGTTAAATGCTCCTTGTTAATAGGAAGTGTAGCTGTCAATAACTGCTGTTGGTGACTATAATGAAGCATCTTGCTTTCATTGAAAGTGATTTCATTTCTCTTTGTCCCTCAAAAAGCTGTTCCATTCCCTTCACAAACCTAAGTTGCTGGCAGCCTGACCCAATTCTTATGATCAACTGGGTTGCAATGACATGAGAAAAAAAAAAAAATCTAACAGAAAAGCTTTCCTACATAATCATGTTTCAGGCATTTAGCAGAAAGTCAGATCACTTATTAAAATTCCTATATCTTTATCTAAGAAGTATACAATGCGTAATGCTTTTATATAAAATCCTGTAATTATTTAATAAAGCAAAGGTGATAAATAGTAAATAAATTACAGTGGAAGTATCCTGATTCTAATTTGCATCTTGTTTTTCAGTTTAAATGTAGCTGTTGCTCAGACGCTTAATATCAATGTATGTTCTTTCCTAATTCACAAGGTTTAAACTGGAAGAATACTAAGGATTATTCCTTTATAAAGTAATCAATTTTAGATTGTAAAACACTGTTTTGGACCATATGGCCTAAAAAAAATCAATATATGATTATCTATAAAATTTCAATTGTTAAAAAATCAATTGTTATAACATATTCTAATAATTACAAATGCATTGAAATAACCCAAGTTTTAAGATGCTTTCAATCATCAGAAGATTTTAAGTATGTTAATAAGAGAAACTGAACCATGTCAACACCCTAAACAACGTAATTTTTTTTGAAGAAGCAAAAATTAAACATTTTTTTTTCTGTACCATTACAAAGTGGTAGTTGTGGAACACAAATAATTTAAACTTATACTCTCCTACATTTCAAAAACAAAGTTTCATCATCTACAAGTAAGAAAAGACAGTTCTAAAACCCAAAGCCACAAAATCATTCTGCATTTTCATCTGAATCATGGGAGTAAAAAGTCAATCTATCACTCGAGGTATCAAATTAATGCGTTACAAGACTGCATAAATACAACTCATATTTATAACTTTAGGCCAGTTACTTATTAAATTTTCCTGGTAGTGAAAAGTTGACCCTAACACTATAACTTTATTATCCATTTTTAAGTTTTAACCTCCCCACCTGAATCAGGAGATGAGACTACCAGCATAACTGCCAGTGCCAGATGTGCACTGAACCCTGCCTGCAGGTGCCAATGAGTTAATTTTCCCTGACACATGGGAGGGGGGGTGTGTGTAAAAGGAAAGTGCTCTGATTAAACAACTAATTCATAATGAAAGCACGAGTAATACCATAGAATGACACTAATAAATTATTAGTAATTTATAAACAAATTTATTTATAAATTAGATGCCCAGTGCACGAAATTCGTGCATGGGTAGGGTCCCTAGGCCTGGCTGGTGATCAGGGTCAATTGGGGCCTCTGGCTGCCAGCTGGGGCCTCCCTTCCCCAGATGCCGGCCGGGGCCTCCCTTTGTTCTGCGTTGCCCCCTGGTGATCAGGGCACGTCATAGCAAGCAATAGAACTTCCGGTCTCCCAGTCTATCTCCCACAGGGACACTTTGCATATTAGCCTTTTATATATATATAGATGGATTTAATTTAAATCTAATTTATAAACGAAGTTAAACTGGAATATGTCCTAATAAGTCATGTAAGACAAAGAAATGACCATCATACAATGTCAGTTCTGAGGAACTATTCTTTTTTACTGCCTCCATCCATTAATCGCAAAGGTCATTCTCTAAGGAGAGACATTAGAGGAACAGAAATATTCCCAGCATCCAAAGTCCCAAAACTACAGTTGATACAGCCTGGCTTCCCTGTAGAGAAACCTGTAGTGAAGTGGCAGCACATCACTCTGCTAAGAATTACTGTGGTCCATCAATGAAGAAGACTACAGGGGAAAGTGAAGAAGGGGAGCCAGGAAAGTAGCCTACCTTAGCAAAATTTTACTACTATTTCTTTTAGCTGGCCATTCTAAGAGGTAGATTATTTTTAAAAGACATTTCTACAATAATACTGCCAACTGACTTTTTAATCATTTATAGCCTCATTTTTCACCTTCCACTGGTTTGCTTACATTTTTTACCATGTTACATATTAATCAACAATACATCTCTAGGTTTATAGAATATAGCAATATTCTATTAAAAGTATTTTAAAACATTCTCCAAAGAAAACATACGTATGTGGGTGCATAGTACATCCATTTTCAGGGGCGGGGAATGTCTGGCCCAAGGGCCATATAAGGCCAGTGAAATCATTTAGTTTGGCCCTGCCAAGGCATTGGGGGTGAGCTAATTAAATGTTTGACCAAATATAGCAGGCTAATGTTTAAGTTGATAATTTTGTATGGCCTGAGAATCTATAATAATAAAGGCATAATATGCTAATTAGACCAGACAGCCAAACATCCTTCCAGACAACCTTCTGGATGAAGCTAGGGCTGCGAGGGAAGCCCGGGTCCCTGGTGCCAGAGGAAAGCCGGAGCCGGCAGCTGGGGGAAGGAAGGCCTACTCTTGCACAAATTTCGTGCATCAGGCCTCTAGTAAAGTTATAAATATCCAAATGGCCCTAAGCAGAAAAGGTCCCACCCCCCTACTCCGATTTACATAAATAGCTTCTACTCGTCAAGATAAAACATTAAAAAAAAACACAACAGACTCATAATAAGTACTATGGAATTCCATTAACAATTTGGCAATAAACAATGACACCAAAGAAAATCATCTTGGAATATATTCCTGTATGAATATGTTGACAGATGAAAAACAGGTACATGTTTTATTTTATGTTTCTTCTTGCTCTATCAAAACCACCAGAATGACTTGTTTCTCCAAAATACTCATACTAAGTCTCTGTACGTAACTATACTTCTGGGAGGGAAAAAGCGTTTTTTACTAATAATTTGAGAGAATATTTTTAAATTGTAAATGAATTCAATATTATCTGGAAGTTCCAAAAGCTGAAACCCTGGTATCTCAGTGAAAGGTGAGAAACAATTCATACATATTAATTCATTGACTACTTGACTCTAAGGCTAAGGATTACATTCAGATCATATTATAAAAAATGTATTTGATCTTTATATGAATATTTGAATATTACCTTGAACTTGTTCAGAACATCTCTCTCGGGCCTTTTCTCTCATTATTTTAGGGATCAAAACATCTTTTTCAACATGCCTGAGATGCTGATCTGAAAAAAGAAGGAGATATTTCTTTAATATAGGAAAGTCTTAAGTAAATCACCTGTGTTGGGGGGAAATAAGCACTGTGGTTTACTTAAATAAAAGCCTATGCGAATACGTTAAAAACTGTTTTATAACTACATAAAATTGTGATTATTTCAGTCACTAAAAATCATTCCAAATAATTTTTATATACAGCAGAAAAAAATGTAAGACATAGGCAACATCTTTCTAAAATTTCCACAAACTATATTGTAGCACTTATAACATATTTCATGTAATCTTGACAAAATTAAGTCATAGACTAAAATATTACAATTTTTCTTATTAATATAATCCACAAGAGGAGTTTTATCAATACTAAGATCCAAGGATAGATGATGATGATGTTTATCGGTAGTGAGATCCAAGATTAAGAGACACACGAATAATGTATTTAGTAATAAGAGTGGTTTAAGAAAGCCAGAACTGGCAGAAGAAAAGGTGGAACTATTATGTGCATTAAAAAAAAAAGCCTGTGAGATTTCTGTGCATTTTAAACACAACTTCCACAATTAGACTAAAGTGGTAGACTGCGCACCTGCTACAGAGTCCCACTTGTTCCTTAAATTCCTAGAGTCCTGAAAAACAAATGGAAAGTGCCCTGGCCAGGTGTTTCGGTTGGCTGGAGCATTGTTCATACACTGAACAGTTGCCGAACTGTTGCTGCTTTGATGCCAGCCAGTGACAAAGATGGCCTTATTTTTGATCCAGAGATTCCCCCAGACCCAACCAGAGGCCCTCCCTGAAGGCCCTGCTCAGGCTTTACCTCGGAAACCTCCGCCCTGAAGGGGGCAGGCGCCCCCCTCCCCGGACACCCAGCAAACCAGATGCCCAGCTGCCTTTCCTGAGGTTTCATTGCATGAGAAAT